CTATTTATTTTAACTAATTATAAGAAGATAGATAGATATCTTATATCTTATTATCGCTATTATTATATTAGCTTAAAAATCTAAGTCTAGAATTCTAATTAATCTAAAATTAAAGATCGAGTTATTATTATTAAAGATAAGATTTATAATAATAAAATATAGATTAATAAATATCTGTTTAATAAGAAAGTTAAAGAAATTTAAAAAGATTAAAAAAAATTAAAGATATTTATAAAGATAAATAAAGATACTTAATATATAAAAATATTACGCTATTATTAAAACCGTTAGTAATTCTATTATAAGACTTCTATATTATACTAATAAGAAAATATATATTATTATTTATTTTAAAATTTCTAGAGATACTATTTATTTATATACGTTTTTTATTAAAAAAGTATTAATCTATTAATTATTATTAATTATATATCTTATTATTAAAGAAAAGCTTTATAATTATATCGAATATCTTTTTATATATATAAAATATATATATTAGATTTCTATCTTTTAAAAAAATTATAATCTAGATTATAATATCTAAAAAATAAGTATTTATATTACTTTTTAATTTTTAATTAATTAAATCTAATTATTTATAGATTTATTTTTCGATATCTTTTAATAATATAGATATTTATATAGTTTTAAATTAAATATCTTAATTAAATGAAAGTTCTACTATTAGATATTTTAGAAAAATATTTATTATTTAAATATAATTATTAATATTATAAGCTTTACGCTAGAATTAACTTTCTACTTTTTAAATTATTTTATAAAATTATTTAAATTAGAATATAGATATATAGATATATAATAGAGCTTAAAGTAATATTATTAATAAATAAATTATATTTATCTTCTCGAAATTCTTTTAAGTTAAATATTAAGTATTTCTCGAATTTCCGCTAAGTTTATATTTTAAGAGTTGCTTAATAATTTTTAAATTAGAGTTTTAGCGATTTATATTTTAAGTCTTAATATCTATATTTAAATATTATATTTTATATATTATATTTTATATTTAATAATTTAATATCGAGATAAATAATTTTAAAATATAAAAAATATAGTGGAATTTTTTATAGAGAGCGTCTATCTAGTAAGTGTTTATAAATTTTATTATTTTATAATTTAAATAAATATATTTTTTATTATCGAGATAAAAATCTTTAAAATAAACTATCTCTATTTTATATAAATTAAATATTATAATTTTAAATTAAAAGTAAGATAATTTCTTTCTATTTTAATTATTAAGTTTTATTAAATTATTTAATATATTTAATATATATAATATAATACTTCTTACTTTTAATATTAGAAAGTTTTATAATATTTATAATTATAGATAATTTAAGATAGAAAGCGTTTAAAATAAAATTAATTTAAAAAATATAAAAGTTCTCTATTATAATAATATATATAAATATTCTAATTTACTTATATAAAAGTTAATATAGAAATACTTTATTTAAATAAGTAAGTTCTCTCGCTTTAATAGTAATAAAGTTATTAATTTTAAATATAATTTAATATTTAGATTCTCTATATCTTAGTAATTAATATTCTAATTTTATTCTAAATTTATCTTTAGTATAATTAAGATTTCAATATAATAAATTTAAAAAGAAGTAAGATATATTTATTTATAAAGCTTAACTTTTAATATTATTATAATCTAATATTATAAAGAAAGATTATATTTAACTTATTATAGTAATCTAATATTATTATTATATTTAAGATTAATAGACTAAAGCGATTAATTTAATTTTTAATAAATCTTTTATTAAGATAATTTAAGATAATAAGCTTTTTATATAATTTATTCTTTAAAATAATTAATTTTAACTCGCTCTTTATATTCTTTTACTCTCTTTTAAAGAATAATGATAATTATTTAAGTAATATTAGATACTAAGTATAAATTCTTTATTACTTATTATTAATTTTAATTTAAAATATTATATTAAGCTAATAAATATAGAATTAAATTTTTAATAAAAGAAATTTTAGATAATAGTATCTTAATAATATCGTAATAATTTATATATAGAATAGATATCTTAAAGTCTCTAGATATTCGAGTTAGCGAAATATAATAATAATAATTAAAATAATTTTTTATCGATATTTATCTTCTTTAAAGAAAATTACTAAATTATTTAAAATTATATATTTTTATATTACTTTAATAGAATATAATTTAATATAAATATTTAAGTTATCTATAAAAGTTTAAAACGCTTTTTTTAATAATATTTTTTCTTATAATAAAAGATTTTATAAGCTTTTTATACTTTAAGTACTCTATCTTCTATATCTTATATTTTTAAAAATATTAAAAATATCTAACTCGTCGTTAGATTCTTATTAAGATTTTATTAATATTATATAACGTTATTTTTATATAAGATTAAATATATTAATTAAATATCGACTATTAAAAAGATAATTTAATTATATAGATTTTTTAATTAGCTTAATTTTAGCGCTAAGTATATATAGATTATTAATATCTATTATAATAATTAAAATATTATAATCTTTATTAAAAAAATTAATTTTATATATGTATTAAGTATATTAATATTTAATATTATTATATATAGAAATAAGTTATTACTAATATTATTATTTTTAAATATATCTTTATCGAATAATAGATAGTCGATAAACTTATTAAGATATTATTTAAGAATAAATTTAAGAAGTTTTATATATTAATTAAATTAAAATATTATTTATAATATTATTTATTTAGAGAAGCTAACTTCGACTTTAAAGAAGCTATTTTATTAATTTTTATAGTTTAAATAATTTACTTAAGCTACTCGTTAAGCCTTAAACTTAATATTCTATAAACTCATTATTTTATATTAAAATAGCTATTTTTTAGCGCTATTATCGCTATTACTATTAAATCTTTATAATTTTTCGAAATATTTTTATCTATATTACTATTATTATTAGCTATTATTATTAAAAACTAGATATCTAAAATAACTTTATAAAAGCTTTATAGCTAGTTATAATATATAAAATAAAGAATTTCTTTTAATTATTTTATTTAATTATCTCTATAAATATTCTTCGATTTTAAATTAATCGATTTTTAATATATACTAGATAGTTTAAAAATAATTTTTTTTAAAAACTATTTTTTAATAAAAAGTGGAATTTAAGATTTAATATAGTCGTTTTTAGATTTCGACTTTTTATTTTAACTACTCGACGTTAAAAATTTACTTTAACTATTTAACTCTAACTTTACTTTAATTATTTAATATTAGATTTACTTTAATTATTTAACTCTAACTTTACTTTAATTATTTAATATTAAATTTACTTTAATCATCTAGCTTGAATTTCACTTTAATTATTTAATATAAATTTTATCTTAATTATTCGATATTAAACTCTAGCGAAAATCGATTAAATTATTTTTATCTTATCTATTCGATTTTAATATTATTAATATTAATTCGTATATATTAAAGTAAGTATATATAAAAAAAAAAGGAGAGTATTAGAATTTAAATTATATAATTTTTAGCGTCTTAGCGATTACGTAATATAATTATATAATATAACTTAATATATTTATATCTAGTCGCTATTTTCTTTTATAGAACTCTCTATCTTAGAGGAAATATACGATTAGGGTATGTCACGTGACTGTACTATCAACTCGATATTTGTTATAACTTTCAATCAACGTTTTATTGATAGTAGAATTTCGATAATATTAAATTATTCGATATTCGAAATAAATAGATAATTATTTCGTAATTCCCTTATTATATATTAAGGTTTAAAATAGTTCAAGTATCTCGCTTCGCTTATCATAGCCTATTCATCAACGTCACGTGATTTATTTTTCGATTTTTGGATTTTTCTCGAAATTTAATATATAAGTAAGATATATAGCCCTATAGGGCTGTGGGACTTAAAGAAATTTTTGAAAAATTTCATATATTACCGCTGGCCATTAATTCTCTACTAGTAATATATTAATGTATTACTTTATAGCGTAGTATTAAAATAATTATAAATCGATATCTCTTTTATATTTCATTAACTATCCATTAACTATTCATTAATAATAAATTTGACTAAATCTGCTATAAATAGAAAATTTCTCATAACTCTCTTCGATATACGTTATATGAAACGTAAAATTTAAATGTATTCGGTGTGTAGTCCTTATTATACAAATCGTATTATTATCGCTAATAGTTTATCTATTTTTAATTAATAGTAAATTCTCATATATAGTAGCTTTCGTAAGGTAGTTAATATAACTAAGTATTCTATCTTATATTTTAATAATACTAATTAATTATCGCTTTTAAATTTTAAGTTTTAATATAAAAAATAAAAATATTTATATATAAAGTTATAATAGATATAAAAAATATAATTAAAATTAAGAATACTTAATAATAGAAATAATCTAAAAATATAGATTAATTTTTTATAGAATTATATAAAGTATAATTATTATAAATATATAAATCTTCTTTTTAAAGAGAGATTAGCACTTTTCTTATATTACTTATTTAGAATTTTAAATTTAAAAAAATTATATTATTAATTATTATTATAAGATTTTAAATATTATTCTAATTTTATAATTATAATAATAAAATATAAAGAACTATAAATAAAAAATTCGATAATAAGACCTTAGCTCTCTTCTTTAAAGGGCTTTTAAAAATCTAGAAATTAATATTAATAAGATATTCTTATTATTTTAATTTTGATAAATTTATAAATATATTAGAAGATAATATTTTTAACTCTAAAATACTTTAACTTATAATTACTTTAGTTATTAATATTAATATTTAATTACTTTTAATTAATAATTAATAATTTAATTAGTATAACCCGTCGAATCTACTGCGACATCAACGACTGATGATAAAGCACCATCATGGCGCTTTTTGCCGCTCGAGAAGTCCCATCTACCCACGGGCCTCACGCAAATGAGTCGAGAAGAACTACCTTTCGAAGGGTTCGGTTGTATCAACGATGAGTCCTCGTTCTTATCCACCTCCGAGCTTTCCTTCATCTCAGCGGACCCCGATGAATATCCAAGCGAGCGTTCTCAGGTCTCCGACTCCGACGAAGAAGACGTGTTTACCCAGTATTATGAGCACTCCTTCGCGATTCACGAAAACATTCCTTCTTCTCAGATCGTTGGCGCGGAATCCCTTGACGAATCTTTTACCACGGAACTAGAAGACTTGTCCGCTGCTGTTTCCGCCAGCAGCCAATCTCATCCAGAAATTCAACTCACACGCTCAAGGCTAATATCGAGCCATCTCAGCGACCTCAAAGACATGCCCAATGCAGCCTATCTACGGTCGATAACCCCGCAGACGATGACAGTGAACCTGGTGGTGGGTGTTATAACCATCTCGCAACCACGAAATATTAAGACACGCAGAGGCGGACGTTCGATCGAGCTCGTTGAGATGCTTGTGGGCGACGACACGAAAGCTGGCTTCGGAGTCAACATCTGGCTTCCCCCTTCCCAGAAGAGCAATCATTCTGCACTTCAAGACGGTGAGCTACGAACCCAGACTTTGCGACTACGACCCCAGGATGTGGTACTGGCAAAGACCGTCGCTTTAACCTCGTTCAGGGGTAAAGTCTACGGTCAAAGCTTACGGCGAGGGATGACTACGCTGGATCTGCTCTACCGGAATGTGGTTGATGGGGATGATGCACGTGGTGCTTACGGCGCCGCGGAATTAGAGCAAGGCGCCATCCACGAGCCGCAAGTCCGCAAGGTGAGGGATGTCAAAGACTGGGTTATGCGGTTCGTTGGAGCCAACACAGGAGCGTTGCCTTCAGGCAGAGCGTCGAAACCTCGCCTGGCGAACAAGAATCAAATGCAGGCATTGCCAAACGATACACCGCAAAAGTAGAACTGCTCTCACACTTTCAACTTAAGGTCATGGCCTTAGTCAATGCAGATCCTACGATCTGGGAAGTACTCGCGCGGACATTGAAGCATGGTGAACCACTATAGACAGGCTTCTTTAATGCTGGCATGGTGAGACATCTTGGGTGGGAGGACCGACTATGCTTGGAAAGTTAATTGAAAAGTTGGCGAGCCGGCCAAAAGGCTGTTCGTCAAGGATTATTGATGCTCCGGTAGGATTTATGGATTTTGTCCGGGCTGAAAGGCGCGAATTGAGCACTCGTCCCACAAACAATTAGTACGTCCGTAAAGATGGTGCATTGACTTCGAACGTATCGTGTTCCACTATCCAAACCGTGGATTCTCGCCTCCCGAACGTCCTCATCACAGATCCCAAATTGAGAGCTCCAAGAGCATTATCACGAACCCCACAGGCCCCGTTTGGTCCGCCTCCCCAGCCCTTCTGTTCCGGCCGTCCCCACGCCTCTCCCTGTCGCTCTGAAGATGCAGATAGCTTCAACCCTCCCGGTCTTCTGCCGCAACGCCATTGTCAACTTCCAATCTCCCTCGTGTGACTTTGCCCACCAGCCCCAAACACATCGCGCAAGGCACGACAGCCGCACTCACTACCGCTTGAAAGATCAATGCCTTACCCATCGTAAAGGGCGGATTACCCTCGCTCCCTTCTTTCAATACATCGCTAATTACAATAAAGATTCCACCCAGCAACTGGCCGCCAGTCCAGCAGATTGTAGAACCGGTTTCGGGACCTACAGGCCATGTAACTTCGACCAACCATTCCAACGCCACAGGAACTAGGGAGAAAGAAGCAGCGCCCAGGATGGCGAGAATGATGTAAGGAGCCACCAGACTGCGAGTTCCAGGCGCCCAGATAAAAGCAAGATAGCACAGCGCGATCAGCGGAACCGAAGTCTTGATGAAAGGTAGATAAGCCTTCGTGCGATCCATAATCGGCGAAGTAACAGCTGCGCTGACCAGCCCAATTAGTATGAGTACAGCGCCCGCAATGCCGCTCTCCGTTTCCGAAAAGCCGTAGGGCGTCATGATTTGAGTGAGGAGCGAGGAGATCGAATTAAAGAAGCCGACATAGACGGCGAAAGGCAGTAAGATGAGGTAAAAGGTTGGGTTTCTGCCCAGCAGGTTTACTGTTTCGCGGATGCCAGGCGCGGTGTGCGTGGAGGAGGGGGAGACGGGCGTGGGTGGTTTGGAGGGAATAAAGAAGGAAGGGATTGAGGCAACGGTCGAGATTATGGCGACGTAGAGGGCCATATTTGGTATATCGGAAGCTTTGGCTGCGAGAAAGGGGTTGATGAGCTGTCCTAGCGCGCCGCCGAAGGGGTTTGCGAGGGAAGCGACTGCGGTAGCGGAGACGCGGCCGGAGGGTGTGAACCAGATGTCTGAGTATCGAGTGGGCGCTGAGAGGACAAAGGGTTGCGCCAGACCGATGAGGATTTGACCGAACATCGTAAGACCGAAGCTGGGAGGTGAGGTCCGTGTGCCAGCATAGCGTATCCAGTTTCCCAGAAGAATGAGTATGGATGCTATGATGATTGCGAGCCGCGGGCCGCCGGTATGGAGGGTCCAGATAGTAGCTGGAGCGGCGGCGACGAAGGCGAAGAGAAATCCCGTGGAAAGCCAATTTATGATGCTAGGGTTTGTAGAGTAGAAGTCTGCAGCGGTGTTGGCGACGGCGGAGAAGGAGAGCCACTGAGTTGTAGATATTAGCCATTAAGCGTCCTGATCGGGCCGCGGGCACTGGAGATCAGTGGTCTTACGTCCCAGCTCACAACGATGTTAAGCAAGATCAGCTGAGAGAGCCCGAACCACCTGATCTTGTACACCCTGTATTCCGTATGGCGTCCATTTATTGGCGCAACCTCCTCGCCACCAGCAGCACTGAGTCGCGAGGATGAAGCTTGTCCATTGCTCTGCTCGTCCGTATATCTCTCTGCCACCTGCGATGGGTGTTTGTGCTCCCTCGTCTGCTGAGGACTCGTATCCCCCATCTCCATCGAGTCGCCGGAAAGGAGACGCTCGGCTTCACTACGGGTCTGGTGTCTTTCGGCTTGGTCTCCACGCATTGTCCGGAAACATTTTCCGTATCAGACCGCGAACGGTCCTCTGAATTTCTTGGTAAGAGCCAGGTTGAAGCCAGGTGACAGCTGAAGATATAAGAGGCCTGACCCGCGGCGAGGTCCAAGCATGTCTAGAGCCAACCAACTCGCGCGGCCGTGGCCGCTTTAGCGAGTGAGTTAGGCGAGCAAATAACCGTTCTTCAACATATTCGACTTCCGCTCGGACTCTCGCTCAGTCTCTGTATTGACCTAAACATACGTATGAGAAGGTCAGAAGCGCGATCAAGAAGCGAGATGCCAGCTGTCAAGCTGGTTGTAGCGTCGCGCCTGGGATGTCTCCCATCTTTTCCGTGCCTGTGGCGACACCCTTCTGATTCTGTTACTTTATTGGTCCTCGGTCGTTCTTGCTGTCTGTTGCTGAACTGCGTTTCATCTGCAAGTTGCACGCAAGATGGCAGGAAGTCCAGAATTCGTGGTTGCGACACTGCCTCAATGAGCTGGCCACCAAACACGATGCTTTGCCGCGGCTCGTTTCACCAGATCCTTCGTTCTTTGATGCCATTTTATCGATTGACCTAATAATTTCATGTTATACTGTTCTCGATAATGCCTTGCATTTGTGCAAATCCCCCAAGAAGCGTTGCATTGTGGCCTGCATAATGAGTGAGGCTGAAGACCACGGATTCCGTCGACGCCATTTGTAGCCAATCATGTGTCAATCGTGAATCGAAAGTGCAGGGTCTCTCTCCTTTATTCTCCCGATTCTATACATACACAGCATCTTCAGATAGGCCGAGCTCGCACTTCTCATTACCATCCTTTCAGATACCCTATATTATCTCAGGATGCCTCCTTCTGTCCGTATCCATTTTGATTCATTCAAGTTTGGGCAGGCCCTGGATCTTGGCTCCCCTAGAATTGAAAACGTCCTCTGTCTTGTGCTTCTGGTATCCGTGGCAAATGCAGCAATCATGCCCCGTCAAAGCTCTTCGAGTGGAAGATTCGTAAACCTGTCAAGCCTTTCCAACCCAACCCCAAGCAGCAACGTACTAAATCCTTAAAGCAGTTCGACCCCAATGAATTTTTGGACTGCAGGCTGTGGGATCCACCCACTTTTCACAGGAGTTGTGGACTGATTGAAACTGTAGACTCTGCGTCGCAGACATTGCCTTTACACCAACCTCGTACCCTATGCCATTCAAAGAGTACTGGTGCTCTCATATTTGGGCCGACCCTGAGGTAAAAGCAGTGGTCACCCAAGGCCTCCAGCCGGAGACTCTTCAGCTCTATGGTCTTAACGCGAGCGCCAAAAGCTTTTGTCTGTCACTTGAATCAGCAGACTACAGTAGCTTTTATTCATCCATATCGGATGCACTTTATACGAAAACAAGACCTGTGTACTTCCAAGTGACCAATGCGCAGTACTATGTGGCCGATTGGACACCGCAGGTCACTTCTCCATCCTGTGATACTTCCTGCGAAGTGCGCGTTTGAAATGCTCAACTACACTATTGGCCTACACCGGCGCCTCAGCCCGCTATTACAACCATTGTTGATTCGGATGGATTCACCTAGTAAGGAAAGCCTTCTCTCTTTGGAACCTTGCTGTTGATAACCGAGTTAGTACTTCCGCATCAGCCTACGTCACCTACTGTAATATCTCAGCAACAGAGGACTGCCTTGGAAATTTGGGAAAGACCATCGCTAGCACAATGATAGCTCACGCACCCACGGATCTAAAGACACGAGATGGTAATTACTCTCACAGCAATGCATTAGTTCCTATCAATTACGCAGACAACTATTCGAATTGCTCCAGCAACTGGTACAGTGGCAATAGTTCGCGTATCCTTCTTGACGCACAATATGACTTGCAGCATTGCCACCCATGGCTGCAAGCCCCACCTAGATTGGAAGCTCTAGACCCAGCCTGGGCGAATTGTTTTCGCAGTCTTGATATAAACGACCCGCCTCGTGCGTTGACGGCAGCTGATTTTGTGGCTCCTACCCCACTGAAGCATTCGGTTTCATTGAGTGTTGCTGCTCCCTCACCAGGTCCACAAGCTGCACAACCCACGCCTTCGCCGACACCCCCTCCAAGCACACCTGCACCTGGTGGTGCCGCGGATAGTAAGTCAGCGAGCGGCATTCCAGACCATCCAACGCCTGCGAAGGACCCAGTGTCTGCTGATCCGATTGCCGAGACAGATGCTCCCGTCGCGACTCTCAAACACTTCATTGACCCAGCGCCTGCGCAGAATTCAGGGCCTAGTGATACGAGTTTTAATGAAGAATCTGGCGTTGCGGCTTTCAAACCTTCCAATGACCCAGCGACTGTAGATAATTCAGCTACCACCGATGCGGGCGTTGTGGCTCCAAACCCCACGGACGGTCCTGCGTCTACCAAAGATCCAGGTACGAGTGATCCGAATGTTGATTACGGTCCTGCCATTAGGGGCTATCAAAGTTACTTCTACTTCTTCTAGTGGAAAATGCAATAAGCTACTAGTTCTTTGATAGCACCCTAATCATTTCTACTTATAGATAGTAACTATTTCTTCTTCTTCTTAAATAGCCTCGTAATAGTAGTACCGTGTTAACTCCATTTGATATAGGGCCTTGGCGAATAAAACGGTCCGAGAACGATTCCCAACGGTGAACAGTGGCCTATGTGTAAAAAAGCTTGGTCCCGGGGGTGTCTGCGCTTGACAGCCAGACACCCCTATTTGGACCTAAATACCTGCCCGCAGGGCCCCCGTAAGGCCCCCGTAGAGCTGTCGCAGGGCCCCCGTGAGGCTGCTGCTAACACTATGGCCACATAAAACACCTCTTAAAGTCATTGTTAAAGCGATCCGTCTCTGAGTTAGACGGGCTGGAATCGCTGCTATCTAAAGTCTTAGTTACCTCCTTAATAAGTAGATAGCTAATATAGGCGTCTGTTAGGGCGCGTTTAGGCTTCTTTCTGGCTATGACGCCTGTAGGATCAGGCTTAGTAAGAGATGACGTGTTATATGTATAGAAGGCTACTCTAGAACGTGTAATAGAATACGCAATAAGTAGCTTATGGAGTTGAATAGCAGGTCCGGAGTTGCTATTCAAAAGTCGTTTTTTTCTACTTATCATAGGGCTGAAATAGGGCTGCAGGGGTAAATAAGTGACTTATTTCATAAGTAGAAGTAACTTTAATAGCCCCTATTGTGGCTTCAGAGTCGGCGAATGGCCCAGGGTTTCCCAATCTGGCCACTAGTGGTCCCAATGGAGGCAAAAATTCCGATGTTGTGGTTCCACAACCTGCAAAGCACCCTGCAGACCCGAGTGGATCCAATAGCACAGACCAGCAACCCAACAGGCCCTTTCCAAACACCAACGGCGAGCCGTATACTCCGCCATCAGTACATGCCGCAGCTCCGGTACAAGCGCCCTTCGTGACCACTGTTGATGGCCATGATAACATTGAGGTACCTGCATCCCATTCTAGTGTAGTCATCGTTGACAGTCAATTAATTACGGCTGGATATACCCCAACGATCGTGTCCAGCACATACATCGCTCTGCACACAAATGGCGACATCGTACTTGGTAATCCGACCATCCACAGCATCCTGCCCACTGCAACCCCAGCTTCAGTCCCGTCCTTCCTGTCGGCGGTGAGACAATGACCCTCTCTGCCGCTCATCTTATAGCCGTAGGAAAGACGTTCGCAGCAGGCGACCAGGGTCCCACAATCGACAGCGAGGTGGTATCACTGGGCTCAACGGCATTGACCATCCGGACGCCCACCGTACCTCTCGGCGCTGAGAACTCGTCTCTTCCATCAGTAGCGACCATAGCGGCTGACAAAACGGTTACGCTTGTTCCAAGCGGTATCATTGTTCAAAACGCGAACTTGACTAGCAACGGCCCTGCTGTCACAGCCTCAGGTGCACAGTCGTCATTGGGGGAATGGCGGACTAGAATCCTATGGGGACATCCACAGTAACCCTACCTCTGCACGCCTATTCTCCTTCCACCTTTACCACCTAGGTCCAGACAACCACCGCACTCTCAAACGGCATCGCAATCGCAGGCACAGCATCAACAGCGGACGCGCCCACCATCACAAATTCAGAAATACCCGTATCGGCTGGAAGCGACAGCCTGGCAATTGTTCACCGCGCGAGCTCGGGTCTCGCCACGACTCAAGGCCTGAAGGGGCTCATTCCCGGTGGCCTCAATGGCGCATCCACGGCGGCGCCGGGCACATCATCCACTTCGAACGGGACGGCAGCCAATATCACATGGTCGGCCAATGGCCCGATATTCTTCCCTCGAAGCGCAGGGAAGGTCCAGAGCCCGGGCGGCGGTCCACCAGAAAGATTGAGCAATAACTTCCTCAAAAGGAGACGGCAATTGTTCGGACATCTTCATTCAGGCCGACAGCCACGCTATCGGATCCGCCGCGCTCGGTCCGTGCGAAACCAGCTCGAACGAGATCCCGCTTAGCACGGCGATCGAAGAGCTGGGGCCCTCCCATTTCGGCCGAAGTACGCACCTATTTGCCGTTTGAGACCCGGAGTCGATGCGGTATCCGCGCTCTCGAACCGAACAGCGGAACGGATCCGGCGCCGGGGTGCGATTGCGGTGGTCAAGACGCGGTAGAGATGGGGGAAATGGCGGGATGGAGGTAGCCGGTGCAGAGGCTTACGGGTCGTGCGTTAAAGAGCGGGGAGAGCGTCAGGAGTTGGAGCTTCTCCTCTCTGTGGGTTTTATCATGATCGAGCAGATGTTGGTTTCGTCTGATAGTCATGTGATGGAATGGACCGGGGGTGAGGTCGCCGCAGGTATTTTATGATGGCGTTACTATAGTATCAGAGGCTGAGATGACTAGATCCCTGGGCTTGAATTCATGATGGGTCACCATCACTGGCGCTGGTAGACAGCAAGGGATTCGAGATCACAATGCAGGTAGCCTTTGAGGAGAAGACATTGGGGGTTTGAATTCATCGAAGCTCTATCTATTGTGCCATAGGAGAGATCTCGCATGGGCAACGCGTCTGCTCTGCTTTCTCATCTTTCTATTGAGAAAAGGGCTCATATAATTTCTGCGCCCACGCAATGCAAGAGAGATTGAAGTTTCATCTGACGAGGTGAGTGAAGATGATCAAAGCTTTAAGAGAGAATATTAATGCACATGTCGAAATGAAGTAGACCGAGTTCATTCTCTACATGATGATCGCAGGGACTATGACGGGTCAGCGTTGGTCGTAAGCTCCGGAAAGGATACATGAAAATACCATCAACATTTTGCTTGATCGACTTGTGCGGCAAGATCGATCCTCCATTGACGTAGATCTCATCCCCAATTGTAACGTCTTCTCCAAGCACTGACACGTTCTCGAGTCTAGCCCACTTGCCAATCGTGCTTCTCCAACCAACAATGGTAGATTTGACCCATGCATGATCTTTGACCCTGCTACCATCCAAGAGCACAGACCGCTGTATCCGCACGCCGTCGCCAATGACAACATTTGGCCCAATAGTGACATTTGGACCGATTCTGCAATTCTTGCCAATCTTCGCCGAGGGATCAACCATCACGTTGCCTCCGTATACATATGGCTTCGAGGATGCCTCAATTTTCTTTGAGCCTTTTTTAGTCAAAGAAGAGAGGTAGAGACAGGTGCCGCTGAGGAAGTCTTTCGGCTGCCCGACGTCCATCCAGAAACCTTCAAGGTCGAAAGAGTGTAATTGGCCGTCCTTGACAATAGCTGGGAACGTCTCTTGCTCAATGGATGTGGGACGAAGCTCGATGCGCTTTAGAACGCTGGGGTTGAGGATGTATAGACCAGCATTGATTCGGTTGCCAACGAACTCGACCGGCTTCTCGACGAAACGATCAATTCTCGATGGGTGATCTGGCTTGTGTACGACTACACCGTATTTTGACGGTTCCTCGACTTTCGTGACCACGATTGTGCCTTCCTCACCATGCGACTTGTGGAATGCGGCAAGCTCCTCGAGGGGGTAGTCACAGATGACGTCTGAATTCAGGACGAAGAATGGCGAGTCGTCTTTGCCAAGGGTCTTCTCAGCCAACTTGAGAGGGCCCGCCGTTCCAAGAGGCTCGGTCTCAATGGAGAATTCGATGTTCACGTTGTATTCTTCTTCATACTGTAGGCTGTTAGTAACATCGCTTAGATCTCCCAGAATGTGTTGATTTATGTGAGGGTACATACTTTCTTCAAGGCTTTAGCCATAATATCGGGTCGGTAGTTGACGGCCAAGACGATGTCGGTCACACCAGCAGCTGCCAAGCTCTCGATCTGATGGAGGATCATGGGACGATTGGCGAACTCAACCAATGGCTTGGGCAAAGTGAGGGTCTGGCAGCAGTCAGAGACATGTAGCTCTTTCATCATGGCGCTTCTGTATCGTGCTCGCTGGGCAAAGGTTGCCGTACCAAAGGTCGTAGACGGGTGCCATAGCCTCCAACAAGGATGAGTGCTATGAAAAGGTCAGCTTCGCTGCATTGATGAGCGGAAAGCATAGAGGGGGTATACCCTTCATGACGGAAGAATTGCTAGGACTACGAGCGAATGAATAGGCGGATAGTGGGGTGGACTTGCTCGTAAGTGGGCTTTTCGTGCAGTAAGCAATGAACGAGAGACAAAGAGAACAGGTGGATAAAAGATTGAATAAGAGGTCAATGGTGTGCTTCGCTGGCTATACCTTATCACTGGGTTGCGTGTTGAAGTATTCAATTGCAGTCTGGGGGAATATGTAATGACAGCTGGCCTCACTCGTACAAATTCGGGTTCGGTTGAGTAAGGGTTTTGTTTGGTGAGCTAAGGTACGAGTAATGGTGGAGCTCAAGGCTCGAGCTGCAGATTTTAATTCCAGGACGCCGCCTCCCGAGGCTCCCGACTTTACCGAGACAGCCTAGGAGAATTAGGGCTTGCTTAGTGCTGATGTTAATTGAGCCAATTGAGACCGCCTGTGTCCCTCATCCTTTTTCCTTTTCCTTTTCCCTTTCTCTCCCTTTCATAATGCCATCATGCAGGCAATCGTGCAGCATCTAGAATAGTCTCCTGCAAGTGATAGAGACTTGCGGATTCTAGCGCAAGATCAATGACCAAATCATTGGTTATCATTATCCTCGAATCTTGACTTACTGTGAAAGGTACCGCAGGCTGATTGGAGCCCCTTCTTTGAGAAGACTACTTGAACGTCAGATGAACCTAATGTGAAAGGTACCATCTCTGTTTCTCTCTAACGTTCGCTTGGTATCCACACCCTACCGTCTGCTGCACAGCCTTCTCCTCGACACCCGATTGCCCTGCAATTATTCTTCCCTTCATCTTGCTAATGTTCTCCTCCCTCCGTCATCATCAAATCTAGGAATATGAGAACCATACGCAACATATCTCTCAGCCCGATTCTCCGGAATAAGGTTGCATACGAACAAATAGTGGCACGACCCCGAAATCCCGCTCGGGGAACCTAAATACAACTTACCTCCTTTAATCCGTTTGGATTCTCCGTTCCCTTGTGCCAAAGTCTGCCTCATTAGAGCAGCCGAATACTGATCAAACGTATCAAGCGATATAGTAATATCTTTGCTATGGGCCCAGACTTTTCCCTAGATCTACCAACGTGTGAAAAAGGCCACTTAGGTTCATGCGAAACAGTAATTGTTTAGGAGCAATTTAGTCATATATAGAGGACATTCAACCAAATACACAAAGAACGAGACTTCCACGAGCCAAATCTCATCCAGCGCATACCTTTGTCTACATCACAGTATACACCAAGATTAGCATACAACGTCTTAACTGCCTCCTAATTCGATTCCGCCTTTCCCGCTGCTCGCACAGCGCCATATCACTCCTCAACCCTCAGCCATAACAACCCAAGCTATCAGAACTCTCAACACAAGTCTCAACAAAGACGTCCTCGCCATTGACTCCGAATACTTTCAAAAACGATCCTCAAGCCCTTTCCTTGATGATTTAGTCAGCCACCGGATGTACACCATATCTTTCAATCGATACAACGATGTTACCGTGCACGTCAAGGCACAAAACGGCGTAACTTGGAGTGAAGGCGAGACTTCTAACAAAAGAAGAGGGTTGGAATTGCGCGGGGTGGATCCAGGAGGAAATGCTGTAAGTGAGGCCCATCGTCTAGGGCGGCCGGTAGTCAGATGTGAGACTCTTTGGCTGTCTGGCTGGAAACCTGCGGATACAAGATGATGATGATGAGGATAAGAAGATTCAGGTTGGATGGCCCGATGAGGGTGGACCGAGGTTCAGTTTCCTCGCTTTCTCTTAGGTTTTCATCCCTTCCATTGTCTCGTTCCTGTGTCATCATCCCCACGATTTCTCCTTCTCCATCAAGACTATTGGCAGGTTTGCATGCGTGTGCACGGTTTGGGCGAATGCGCGACCATAGGATGTATCTTATTACGAAACGCTCTTTCAATTATGTTGTTCCATTAGTCTGACTTTTTTTGTATTCTGGGACTCCACCAGCTTCTGGCTACCATGGATGAGAACACCATCGCTATGCATCTTTACCTCAAATTGTACAAACACTTCTCCGCTGGCTGACCGTTAAGTCTAACCAATTTCTTCACTCTGCTCCGCCAAAGCCTTCTTGTATTGCTTCGTAGCAACCTCGATCGCCTTCACCGTGGGCGTCAACAGTTGATTGACTGCCTTTGCACCCCCTGGAGTGCTCTCGTAATCCATCCTCCGCCTCTTGCCCGTCCGCTCAAAAAGATCCTGTACCTGCTTCTTCAACTTCTCGATATCCTTTTTGGCGCTCCGCTTCAGCGTCCGTAGCGACCGCTTTGATGCGATCCATGGCTCTGTTCAATGTCTCGAACAGCTTGCCGATTTCATCAGCCCTATTAGGGTCGCCGGAAAGGAAAGCGGACCAGAAGTGCTGGAGAAACTCGGTGGTAGTTGCATGTGTGAGGGAGAGGCGGTCGAAAATGGCTGCTGAAAGGCCAGAGGTTGACGACGATTGCACCGTGGAGAAGCCGGACGAGGAAGCGGAAAGGTCATCACTCTGGGCCCGCTGTTGGGCGATGGCGGAGAGCATTTGGACCGTGGCCCCTGAAAGACTAGCTTTGCTACCTACGTGGCCCTTTTTCAGGTTAGACTCATCGTCATAATCGCTATCACTGTCGTCATCTACACCAATAGCGGTGTCGAGGTTGGTATTAGAGCTGACGCGCGCCAGGTCCGATAGTATTGACCGAAGGACTTTGACTGGGTCCTGCTTGGCATAGAGCAGCGCATCTGCCGAGACACCGCTTCCTTTATCAGAATTGAAGAAGCGGCTTTG